AAAACAAAAAAATTTGTAAGGTCAAAAATCATGTTTCAACACCTGTGGTAGATAGAGCACATGTAGCATTGCTCTTAAGAAAGATAATGGCAATATTTTGAATACTTGGATAGTTGAAATAATCAACAAATGGTAATTAGATACCCTAATTTTGATTACTTTATTTTCATGAGTCATGACACTAATTTTCTAAGCTTGAATTAACTGAAAGTAATAATGAAATATTATAATGGTAGTATTTCAATTAGTTAATTATTAATCAGTTTAATCATTATTTTGATTTTTGGATATTTGAAAAAAATCAAACGGCAATAATCAAGAACACTAATTTCAATTGGTAGATTATCTTTATGACATTTATTGACTTAATTCTAACTTAGTAATCAATTATGTTGCAAGACACTGATTGGTGCTCATAGGTAACTGAGTTAATTGTTCAGCTCTAATGCTTAATAATGAATTTCTGAATCAACTCAACCAGTTGTTTTATTTTTTGGTAACAAAAAAGGAATAAAATATAGAGTTATATATGACTTGGTGTGAGGAGTATTTTTCTGTGGATATAGTGATCATAGTGGTTTTCTATTTCCCTAAGGTTAACTACTCTCACCTCACTGGTTATGGCTGTCCACCTGTAGGTATACATGCTTCTCTTTGGCCATTTGACATTATTATTAGAACTAACCTAAATACTTGTCTGGCCTCTTTTATGGCTTGCTTTCTCTACAACTGGTATTGTGTCATTGTTGCATTTGCTGCACTAGTAGCATGTCGGGTATTTATTGCCTTACATTTGCAAATAAGCTTTGAATATTTCCACCAAACTATGTGCAGTCTTGAAGAAAATCTCCTGAATATTCTTACATTTCCTGATGATTGTTGGTTTCATGAGAATCTCTATAGATGTCCTGATGATTGCTGGTTTCATGAGAATCTCTATAGATGTCCCGATGATTGCTGGTTTCATGAGAATCTCTATAGATGTCCTGATGATTGCTGGTTTCATGAGAATCTCTATAGATGTCCTGATGATTGCTGGTTTCATGAGAATCTCTCAAGATGTATAACATCATCACTGCAGGCAAAGTTTAGTAAAAAATATCTTCATCTATCAAACAAAAATCATTGTATCTTTTCCAGTTATTTTCTGTTTTGGGGTTTGATGAACACCATTGAATTCTTCATATAACAGTGCATATTCTACAGAATTTGCAAGAAAGTTTAAGAAATACTGGATTTGTGCCTTCCAGGCATTAGGCCTGAGTACAAAAAAGGGGCTATTAGATCTAATTTTATTAAAAGTTAAGTATTAACTTAGCTTCTGAATTTTGCATTTTTCCTCTTAACAATTGTGTATTGATATCTTGTATTACTTTAACTGTGGTGTCCATTGTATAACTTACTTTCTTGTAATGGGTAGCTCGATGGCAACAAGAAATTCTTGCCAGGAAAATGCTACAATCATTCACATAGTTTTAATGTTAGGTTATTGTGTGTTAAACTATTACTGTACCAAATCAGTTCAAACTAGCAGCTGTCAGTTCTGAACATCAGCCCTTGCTTCCAATTTTTCACAATCTTAAGTTCTATCACAATGGGGGAAGTGTTTCTATCCACTAGCTAGAATTGATTCCAGAATATTTGTGACTCCAAGCTGAAAGTACATTAACCCTTTATCATCTCCAAGCATATATTTACGCATGTTAGACATGTATATCGCAAAGGTCTTGTGTGCCGTTTTAGTACCTGTGCCTGGTTTGTTGTGATCAAAGCATTACTACAGTAATTGAAAAACCCTTCCATGGGTGGTAAGGGGTCAACCATCATCACCCTTACTTCTGTCACCTTATATTCTAATATTTTACCCTTTTGTTACTATAATTCAACTTAATTTGATCTGTGGATGTCAACTTTCTTCTTTGAAAGTGGGGAAAACATTAAAATTATTAAGAGATAAACCTTTTGCTACTATACAGTGTAAAAAGACTTGGAAGAATTTGAATCTGATGTAACACTTGTCAGACATATGACCTAATGTGTACATGTTTAATGATGAAACATTTCAATTTCATTAATGATAGTATATTGTAGTTAAGGTATGTATTTTAAATGTAAGCCCAAACAAGAAAATTTGATACACTGCATGTAATAGCAATCTAGAAAATAGAAGAATATTCCTTGCTTATACAGTATATTTACATACTTTGTCTATTATTATTATACTTGAATTAAATTTAGTAGCATGCTGTATTATTTTTTGCACCAATGTCTTTTTCATAAACTGGATTTCTTGCTCCACTCAGTTTTGTCTGTAATCTTCCTTTTAAAATTAAATAGAATAGGCTGAGACCATACTTTTTATAAGAAAGAAAAAATATTATATGCTTCTAGGTTTTGTTAATTTTAGGATCTTTGAATAAGTACAAAAACAAATAAGTATGCTGTCTTGAACCAACTGGTAATTAGATATATTAACATGTTTGCTGCCACCAGCATTATTAATAATTTCTACCCTAGTGCCAACCACACTTTTCTTTTTTTACTTAACCCAGGTGCTTAATATTTATATGGATAGCTATATTATGTTCAATTAGCTCATTGAAGCCATTTGTAATTTGTGACCCACCGGTGGTGCACATAGCACTTAATGTGTTAAATGTTAACATATGTTGGGCATTTCTTGGTTAATTTTCACAGTTTGTGAATCTAAGTAATCGTGATAAGGATCTGTTTCTGCTCTGCATTTTGGGGCTGTGGGTACATCACAAGAATAATGGACAAATCCTGTTATTTGATCAGATAAAAGTAGCTCAAGAATTGGCTGTGAATGGTGTTGATTAGCTCATTTCCCTCTAGTCTATTGGCTCAAGGGCCTGGCATGGCCTAGTGGTTAGGGCACTCGACTTGCAATCTGAGGTTCATGGGTCTGAATCCTCATCACACCAAACATACTTGCTCTTTCAGCCATGAGAGAATTATAACATGATGGTCAGTCCCCCTATTCCTTGGTAAAAGAGTAGCCTAAAAGTTGGCATGGGCTGTGTTGACTAGCTGCCTTTCCTCTAGTCTATCACTGCTAAATTAAGGATGAATAGCACAGATAACCTTTGTGTAGCTTTGCATGAAATTTTGAAGCAAATCTTTATTAACACGTTTGACACGGGTCGCGGGTGAAAGGCCATGTCATCTGGTTTGTTGACTTGCATTCAAAATTGTATTGAACTACTATTTCATGAATTTATGTCAATAAGTTTGGTATCAAACTGTAGATTATAGTTCAAATTTTAATACTATGTATTACTCAATTTCTTAATTTAAAAGCAAATATGAAAAAAACAGATAGACATTGATTTTTGTGTGTCACATGTTATGTTGAATACAGCACTGGTTCAAATTAGAAGTTTTTGAAGTCAAAATACTAAGTCTAGAGTTTTGAATGAATTAGAAACTCAAATTACCAATTTTGACAAGCTAGAATATAAAATATGAGTCTCTTATCTTTTTAATTTGCTAAGATATTGCTCATGTAATAATCAAACACAGTAGCACCCTGCCCACCTCTTTCCATTTTTGGAAATGCTCCCTTATATACACTTACTTCAATATATGGCATGAATAACCAATCGGAAACTCGGAATGTGTCCCTAGTGGCTTTCTTAGCCATTTTAAAGGACTTGGCACCATTACTTTCTTTTGAACCAATATTTCAACGAGGTAGGGCGTGTCTTTAGTCTGCTCGAAATTGCATATTTTTTAAAACTAAAATACATCTTAGTTACTAAGCTTTATAAATTATAGTGGAACTCTATGGTATTAATGTAGTAATTTATGATGTTTTAGTTATTCAAATGTATATATAAAACTTTAAAAAAAATATTGTTTCATATCCTCCATGTGCAAAATTTTTAAAGGCTTGGCAACCTATGTAAAGCAGCAACCGAGTACAAAGGTCATAATAGTTTGCTTTACTCCTTTTTTAATTACTGTTCTGTTTTATGAAAAATATGTTTTAGAACTTATTTCAAAATAGCAATAATCTGTATACATATGTATAATAATTGAAATGTGACTGTATTTTACAAAATACTAGTCTACTAAAACACAGCCAAGATAGGTTACTTTGCACAGACCAAAAGTCAGTTTTGTGTTATTTGATACGGTAACATGAATGCACGTGAGTTGCAGTTGCATTATTGTTACTTCTGTATTTTTAGCCAGGCATGGCTGAAAGGTCAAATATATATAAATGTATAATGTTATGAGATTTAAGCTATTTAGCCTAAATGTGTTCATTCTAGAATGAAAGAGGCATAATTTATATTTATTTCCTAATTTTTATGGTGGTTATGAGATTGGTCAAATCTGCCAAACCCGTACAGAGATTAATTGCTGAAAATAACAGTTAAAATATAATCTTTTGTTAAGAAACATTTGATAACTATCTCAACATTATAAAGATTTGACATGTGAACTTTCAAATTTTCTGATGCATAAAAGTATTTTTAATCTTCAAATGAATATTACTTTGCATGATAGATAGGCAACTTTTGAAAAGATAAAATAGACATGAGAAAAACATTGCTTTATAAACTTTAAGACTTAATAAAAAAAAAGATTGATATTTTGTGTATGAAAGAATTGTAATGTTTACTGATAATCTACCAAATTTCGTTAACATATGCTTACTAATTTAAAATTTATAGCATGAAAACTATAACAAGCACAAAATGGTTATGAGGTCGGTACCATGGACCGAGCCCGTGCTGAAAGAGTTAAAGAATTGTTCAAATATGGTTCATGTGTATCTGTATTTGTCATTAATTTGAGTGACAGCTTCTGCACTATTTTTAATTTTCTTTATGTAAATTTATTTCTATGAGAAACATTTATAGTTCTTAGTTGTTTTGAAATTAACATTTGTCCAAATGATTATTTCTGTTTGTATTTTTTTTTTGTTAAAAAAAAAGTCTGAATTGCTCTTTTTGGTTATCTTTTCTCAGGGAAGTGATGATAACATACATCGAACCAGGAATATCCCTAGATAGTCTTTGTAAAGAAATTAAAGACACTTGCAAGTTTGATGAAGAACAACCTTTCACCATGAAATGGGTAGATGAGGAAGGTATGTTTGTAAGGTGTTATTAAATTGTGGTAAATAAGTGATACGAGAATTTCCAACCATAAATTTATGTAAATTGGTGAGAAATTTATTTTATGTTAGGAGAATCGTGTCTTGTCAAAGTAAAAGTGGTGGATTCTTTAAGCCAATGTATATGAAGGTAAAATTCACAAGAACTGCAGGGGAAAAAGGATGCTTGCCTCCACCTGGTTATTTATAATGAACTATGTTTGTGAAAGAGCGTGTATCATTATTTGTAAATGTTTGTTCTGAAACGCAGGTAAATTATTGACAGTTATTTTGCAAGCTTGGAAAAAACAATCATGAGATGAAAAAAGACATTTGCCACACCTATGAGATATTTTATGAGTCATAAATCATTTGAGTATTTTTAATGGAAGTCATGCACCATAGAACTTAATTATTGTGCGTACAACAAAAGAACTGACTCTGTCACTATTGATTATATGTATCTTCCTTTGAAACTCTTGTATATGTCACTGTGCGGCCTACTGACAATGTATGTGTGATAGTTGTAGACATTTTCTCACAAATACTGATAAGAGATTTTGTTAGTCTTCTAGTCATGAGCCAACAAGAAAGATCTGTATAGCGAGCAGCTGTTTAACAACAAATTCTGTAAAGGAATATATTTCAGTAGCACTATACATTTCTGTTTTTAAAAAATGTAAACATCATTATTTGTTTCAGTTGTTGACATTAACTATTAGAAATTTATTTTATCAATGTATTAAATATGTTAATGGTATTTATTCCCCTCCCCCCATCAAACTTCCTTTTCTGTGTAACATCAGCCCTTCTTACACATGTACAAGTCTAAGCACACATTTTCCTTTTTCTATTGTTTAAAATTGAACATGCTTTACTTTACTGTATCTGATGATTGCAAATGTAAAAATTGAAGTTTCTTTTATTTTTTATTAAGCGATCTGATAAGTTTGAAGTCAAGGTACACTGATTAAATGAATGGGGAAGATATTAAAGTGGAAGTTTTCAATGTATCTATTTGGCAAACCTGAAATGTCAATGCATCTATTTGGCAAACCTGAAATGTCAATGCATCTATTTGGCAAACCTGAAATGTCAATGCATCTATTTGGCAAACCTGAAATGTCAATGCATCTATTTGGCAAACCTGA